ATCCACGTGGATTGCATAGAGTGATAATTAATCGATGTTAATTTATCCACGTGAATTCAACGTTACTATTTCCTATTTTTATTCCCGTTAAATTTCATCAGTAATTCCACATGGATTATACGTATTGAAATCTATATATGGAAATGTCTACGTAGAATCCACGTATTTATCAATGCATTTACCACAATATAACTTTTTAATGCATAAACAATTTATAAATATTTTGATCTATATATATATACCCGTGTGGAAGTTTTCCTATCTTTTCTTTGTTGTATTCCTATGAGATTTCCCTAAAAAAAAAACATTAAAGGGATTCTATTCCGTTTTCCTAAAACATACACTATATTATATAACCACATAAACCATTTGTTTTTAATATTTCCATTGAACAGATATATCACAATTATACAGACGTTGACATACAGATTCGTGGGTCATCGAAGTACAGCAGTTCCCTTACGATTGTCAAAATCAAACAGCAAGGTTCGTGGTACAATTTCGGATGGGTGACATCATGAAAAAAAATTAACTCTCGAATTTAGAGAAAAATTTTTTTTTCACGATTTTATTTTAAGACTTCTACACGGGTATATTATAGTATAGTGTCACTATTACGAATTTATTATTGCATTATTATTGCACTAGTAGTGGATATTACAAGGAATATCGATTCGATTTCCACGTGGATTTTGGTACCGTTTTTGAGTGGACTGTCACTCGATCGTTTACGTAGAATCTACGTGCTAACCCACGTTGAATCTACGTCGAATCTACGTATGTGTTCTCAATCGGTGTGACGTATCACAATTTATACACGGGATCTTGTATACAACATTATTACTGTTAACTATTTCTTTTTTATCTTTGAGTGTTTTTATAAACATATCTAATTTATTCAAGCATCTATAACCTATGTTATAAAGTGATTTGTTAAACATATTTGTAACCGATTGTGTTATACCATGGATAAACGGAAGTACCATATATTTCTTTATTACATTATTGTTATTATTAGAATTGTCATTAATTGTGGACACAATTTTTTTGGATTGAATCAAGTTTTTTATTCTTCTGTTAAAATATTTAAAGATGAAGTCTATAGGATACCCATTATGTAGAAGTATTGTAATACATTGTTCTAAATTTTTTTGTTGAAATTTGGGATGTGATAATAAAATCGCCCTGTCTACAAGGCTATATATATAGTGCCTATTTTGTGACAAGTAGGGTGATTTGATAAAAAAGACAGATATCTGCCAGAGAAAGTTTTTTTATGAAACCAATCAAGTGTAATAATTCCATCTTCCACAATTAATAACAAATCCAGAAAGCTTATCGTGTGGTTTTGTTCAAATTCTACTGTAAATTGCAAACGTCTATGTATGTTGTTAAATGTGTCTTTAATAACTTTAATTTTATCCTCAGGGGCTGCCAAAATTATGTCATCTACATAGCAAAAATAAAAGGAACAACTGAAATTAAGTGAACTTAAAGCTTTCTCTTCAATGTCCCGTAAAACCAAATCAGCTATAATCGGAAATAAAGGTGAACCCATAGGGGATTATCTCCGATCTTCTCGTCTAAAAACGAAGAATGGATTATAACAGGTTTTTTCATCGTTCAAGTAAATTGACTACTACCATCAAACATTGGAGCGATTATAACGTTTCACAAAATTTTGCGACTATCAGCTAGGATGTAATTTATATATTAGAGAATTTGCAATTGTTATAATTTTGATTTGTTTTTTCTTTTTTTGCGTCTGTGATATGTAAGCGTATTAATTAGATTAGGGTTTTTTATGCGACTGAGGATGACTTTGTAAAGTCGAAACGTTCCGAGTTAATTTTATTGATTGTAATAAATTTATTGAATAGTAACAACAAATATAGCTCATTATTTATTTGACCTGGGAAGTATATTTATTTTTTATAATTTTTAAATGATTTATTAATATTTCCAGCGATGTAGGTATTGTGGATAACATATGGCATATCATTGTGAAAATATATATTATAGAACATATGTTTTAAAGAATATTATGAAAAATATATATCATTATAAAAATGACACAAATTTATATTTAAACAGCACAAACTTATATATTTAAGTTTTTCTTATATATTGAAGAGGACCCAAATTCAGGGTCGAAATATATACGTTTTTATTTTATAGATATATTTTATTTCACACATTTATATCCTGTTGGTTCTTATAGGCACTATATTTTACATTTAGATTTTTATCTGTTGAGCCTGTAATTAGGAAGCCCCTTTTATGAGATACCGAGTTCATTTTGTGTAATTACTAAATGTTTATTGGTAGAATTAAAAAAAATAATAGGTCATTTTGAAGAGAATTTAATAAGCTTTAAGATAGTGTTATGTAAAATTTAATTCAAATTTTATTTTATTTTTTAATTAAAGAAATGTAAAAGGTGAACAAATCGCAAAGTCGAAAAATTGTGCTCCTAGTATGAGATACCCCGAGAAATCGATAATAAAGCACAAAGTACATCAGTATTAGAATTAAAAAAACTTTATTTGATGTTTCTAACATATCAACGAGTACAGCCTATGCGCGTAAATTGAGCATGTGATGCATTGTATTCAGGATTTGTCTTCAGTAGTAATTGGAATGAAGTATTGCAGAAACAGACCCTCAATGTTCATTCCGGTTATTCTTTTTATCATTGTACAATAACATTTATACTTTAACATCGATTTTCACTTGGGCACAGAAGTATAAATTACTTCATATCAGAAATATCCTGGGTATCTCATATTACGAGTATCACGTCTTACAGCTTTACGATCATCAAATCTATAACTTCTTTAATTAAACAATTCAACATATTTCGTATTTTTCTATCAGTACGATCTTACTCTATTACTACATGAAGAATTTATTGCCAAATAATTACTTATTAAATAATAAACAAAGATTAAAGGCTTATCTCAATGAAACTTGAAAACATTCAAACTCTAAAATTTTATTTTACAATTACTGTAGGCATGATCTAACAATGAATTTTCCACTTAATAGTTTTCAATCCAAGAGCAATAATTTCATGATAAAATCAACAGATAGCATTTATTAGTTTAGCAGAAACGCCGCTATCTCATGTTAAGCGCCTATCTCATAATAGGGGGCTTTCCTCTAATAATTTTTTTTTTATAAATATGTTAATTTATATCCATTGTTAAATTTTTAAGATTTTACATAAAGAAGGAAATGTTTTATAAATGTGGGTTTTTTAAATTATTTATTTCGAAGATATTCAATTCTTTATATGTATTACGCATCATTTATAATTGAAAGAAAAAGATACACATTACAATCACAAAATTCTTTGTAGAAACTTTTTAGAAAGAAATATCCTGTACGTGTATCAGTCGATAGTACGAAAATACGCTTTTCATTTTTTAATACAATATTACGAAAAATTAAATGACGTGTGGATTTACTTATTCACTTAGAAGTCACTAACAAGAAACTTAATTCATAATACCTAACTAATACACACTAAAGTACTAATGCCTTTTTCATGCAAGTATATCGAGGCACAGTAATATATTGATCAGTGTGCATACTTACATTTTCATAACGCGATTGATTTAGGTTGCTATTTTATTTGTACGTTTTTGTTATTCAACAAATGTGTGCAGGACAAAGAAGTCCTCGGATCTCTCTTTTCTACAACCAATCAACATGCTTAAAAAATTTGTCTTACGACAAAAAAAAATGAAATAGCATCCTCAAACAATCCTTACAGTAAACTAATACAGTAAATTTACAGATAAAGTAAATTTACTTTAGCTATTACAATCGATATCGATCAATGTCAAATCAATGATATAAAAAATCCAGTAGCGTAAATATCGAAATTACTCTTTTTCTTATTGCAAATATTTTTTTCATAAATTATTTATATATATTTTGACTGTTTTCCGATTTACTCTGCCAAGTGATGAAAATAATCTGATTCACAATTCATATGTATATACTATAAGATTTTTAGTACTGACAAAGTATATCGTGACACAGCCTTTATTTAATATAAATTATATGTAACAAAAAACGAAAATGTAACAAAATTGCGGTATAAAATATAAAAAAGTTAATGTTCACCGTATTGCAACAGATCTATATACATAAAAATATGCTAAAAACAATACAATGAAGAATTTAACTTGGAAAATATTAAATTGATATTTAATATTGACAATTTTCTTAAGAATTACAGAAAATAATATTGTATATACGTGTCTTAGATACTGTTAGTATCAGTTGTGAAATATTTACGCGATAAGTTTGAACATATCTTTGAAAGTTATTATTGTCTCTTAAACTACTATCTTAAAATTATCTTATAATCGCACTGCTTGTAATTATATCGATACTATAAATACTTACTGCAATATAATTTTAATATAATCGTTGAAGGTATAAAAACCACAATACTTTGTTTTCAAATTCATTCTTACAAACATTTCATTTGTTCATTCAATTGATTTAGCTAGACAGCATACTTATCATGGAACAAAATCGGAATGGATTCCGATCGGAATTATTTCGTTTTCCCTAAAAAGCACACAATGGAAATCTAGGGAATAATTGAATAATTTCGAACAGAATCCATTCCGACTTTGTTCCATGATAGGTACCCCTCAGCAGAATTTTAAAATAATCAGATACCATTTATGTCTTTTGATTAGTTAGCCTTCTAAAATAAGCAGTGTATACAAAGAATATGAACATGATCACAATTTTAATTATAATATTTATTAATATTAGTATTAGTTTTTTTTTTTTTTACAAAACCATTATATATCAACAAGATTTCAGTAATCTCTGTGTTAGAAACAAGTATGATATTTCATGAATTAAACTATGCGGAAAAAAATAAAGATATAATCCTAAGTCTTAATTTCCAACTCGGAATTTACATGAAAGACAATACTGATAATTGAAAAATGAAGAATATTGATGTGGAAATTGTCTCTCCATCAGGAAAAGTCATTGTTAAATATTACATCTGTTACTAAGGCATCTTGTGCACTATGTTTGTTTTCTCATCGCGAAAACATCTAGACTTTTATTTTAATCTATCTATTACATATCATCTTGGGTGATACTGTCATTTTGAAAATTCAATCTTTCCTCTTCGTCGAATATCGATCCATCGTCAGATAATTCATGTTCCTGGTTCATCAAAATATACTTAGTTTGTGCATTAATGTCACGTACCTTTTTATGAGACTTTTTAATAGACGTCGTTTGCACTAATTTCATTAAATTTATTGCGCTTAAGCTATTTGGAGGCGTTGTATCCAGAAACTTGGATTTTGTGATATTTTTTACATCTTTCATATTAACTGCTCCTCGACTTGTAGATGGTTGAGGATTATCGGGATCATCATAAGCAATCTCTTCATAACTTTTGTTCTTCTCCTTTTCACGCATCTCTTTTTCGGTACAATTTTTGTCGAAATGATACTTTAAAGACCAACTAGTAGGTTTTTCCAACATCTTATCATTATTTTCAAAATTAACATGCTCACTCTTTTCGATACACAGTTGTTTTTTCTTTAAAATTAGCCTGTTGCTACGGTTATGCTTGTCTTTCTTATGTGATTTTTTAATCGAGTCTACATTGCAAAATAACTCCGTCGTCGACATATTTGTCGGAGTTGATCTACCATTCTTGTCTTTTAGATTTGCAGTATCTGCTACTTTCAAAACGCTTTTATCAGTCTCAGATCTTTTAGCGTTATCGCGTCCCGATGCAAGATCTTCATGTTCTTTCAATTTAAAACATGCTACTGGCGTCACGCATCTGGAACAATCAATTTCCTTCGCTGTTGTTTGTACAGGTTCATCTGCTTCTTGTGACGCATAACCATAATCGACCGCACAAACATAATTTATAACATCGATCGGAATTCGCCGTTTTTTAATGGGAGTAAAAATCTGAAATTCGTCGTTTATATCTTTACATTCTGAAGACTTCGAGTCACTTGGTAATTTGGGTGTACTACTTTGCAAAAATGTATTTACTAATTTCTTTTTAGGTGGTACGCCAGGAGATTCTTCTAATTCAAGAGGTTTAGTCTTATGTAAGGTTGTATAAATTTTTTCTTCATATTTACTTTGTAATGAATCACTGTTTTTCTTGTAATATTTGTAATCATGGCATTCAACAAAACTAGAAGCTTTTTTGCTACATTTGTCTTTCTTATGTGATTTTTTAACTGAATTAAAATCAAGCAACAAAAGTCTACTTGAATTTACATTTTCGGGTGTGCTCGGTCGATCAAATTCGGAATTCTGTGGACCTGAGGTATGAATTGCATCAGATGCCTGACTTTCAATATTTTCATCAATATTATAAACACCTTCGAGTGATATATCAGATTTTGTTAATCCTATTTTTTTATAGAGATCCTTACTGGGGGTTTTAAATAACATTTTCCTATTTTCATGTTTTATCTTTTTGTGCGATTTCTTAATCGATTCTGTCAATACTTGCTTTAATATATTTAAGTTGTTTTCAGGTGTAACTACACGATTAGCATTTTGAGAAATACTTGAACTAGATTCTGGAGATACCATTCTATTCTCACTGATCACATTAATATTACAAATACCTGACGATTCGTTTTGCAACGACTGACTTACTTCTTCATTGCAAACATTATCTTCTTCACAATCCCCATCGATGGAATTAATACCTTGCTGTAGCATATCACTTTCTATATGATCCAATCCACTTTCCAACAAAGCATTTCTTGTCGATGTGGTTTTCTGCTGTACACTATGATTAAAATCTGATTCAGTGCAACGTTCATCATCATAAATAAGTGTTCTCTTAGTACTTCTATTTTTCTTCTGAGATTCATTTTTCGAAGCGACATAGCAACTACTTGTAGCAATCATATCTATTTCCGGTGATTCCATAGTTGTTCTTGAATGTAAATTACTGGTTTTTACAGAAGTATCCATCTGCTGAGTAGACGATTGTACCTCATGAGAATATAATTTTTCCTGTTAAAACAGAAACGTCAATATGTCAACAAAATTAATAAAAAATAAATATATATTTTTCTAAAATTTGTAATTAATTTTGAGAAAATGTATCTGTTTTTATCTATGATTCTATCTGTTTCTGTTTATATTATATAATATATACCAGACACACGCACGCACGCATGCATATGTATACATAGAATTACTTTAATAAGATGATAGTCAAATGTGTAGAATTATAACAAAGATTTGTAAGAAATAATAAAAAATAAGATAGCAATGACAAAACAATAAATATAAATATATATACCTTCTTGTGACTCTTCTTAATAGAGCTTATACTTTCTGGAATTACATTTATTATATTTTCAGGTGTATGTGGCCTATCGTCTAGTGCTTGATTAAATTCCTGAGATAGATTCCTGGGTGTACTCGCAGTTACAATATGATGGGGTCCTTTTGATCCAGTAAATAGATTGAATGAGCAAGAGGGACGTAAAGATCCACAATTAGTATTTTTGTTCGTTGCTTCCCATTGTTCCTTGACCAATGACATTAAATGTAATGTTCTTGATTGTATGCATGTATTATTTTTTATATCAATTCTATAGCTCGATTTCCGATTTTGTTGAGGCGTTTGATTCTGATTTTCATCGATGGACTCCACGGATGTCATTGGGGCGTTACTGTCAATAGATTCAACTGAACTTAAATTTAATATAGATGATGATGTATTAGTGTTGATTGAACTAGTAGAATTATCATCATTACTGCTGTTCTCTTTTGGACTTGGACTCGAGTCGAAGTTCAATGATTTTCTTATTCCTACAGTGTCCCGACGGAAGGAACCATGAGTGGAACTGAGTGCATTCATTATTTTACCTGACCTAGATAACATTCTAAGTGTCATATAATAATAGTCTGATCTCTTATTTGGAGAATGCCAAGTACAATCTGTACCATCTACAATAAAGGGTTTAGCCATTTTGTACTGAAATAGATATTTATTTTTTCGTTGATGTTTGTTCGATGCACCGGGTAATTTAAATTTATATGAAAAGAACTTGTTTTCACTTGTTGACGATGAATTTATAATCACGTTTTTTAATTTTGGACTTAAGGCACTATCTTTTCTATTGTTGTATACTTCATTCATCTTTGTTAACATCAGTATACTTGAATATAATTATCTTGGTTATTATATATGGAATATGATTGTGTCATACATATACAAAAATGCATACATAAAAATATATATACACACGCTTTTATATAGGAATGTGTAACTATTTCACAAAATGTTTACTATGTGATGTCTTTTCAAGAGAATTGTACCTCCAATTGTACTTTTCTTCTCAAAGATTCCTATAACAAAAAGAAGTTGTTTAAAGAATAAGGTATAAACTTTCTATATATTTTTAACTTAAATAATTTTAATATGTTTAATAATATCTTAAACAACTTTAGTAGACTAAGTACACTAATATAAGAGACTTTAAATTTACAGAGTGAAATAAATTTAAAACAACAAAGTTTTGTATGGTTTGAATCATTACCTAAGTAACAAGCTGATCTTACAGTATTATATGACAAAATGTAATAAAATAAATATTTTATATTCCATAAAGAAAAATAAAATTTTTCTAAAGGCATTAAACAAAAATTTTCAACTCTTGTTTAAGTTACCACATAGTTGATCTTATACAAAATAACTTTTATTCAAACCATTTTTTATACAACTGTCATAAAAATAATTTATAATTTATAAAAATAACCAAGTACATTTAAATCAACATGCAATTAATGATTTAAGTTGTAACATAGGAATGTAATAAAAATTATAAAATGATACTTTAAACTTTAAACAATACGAGATGAAGAAGAAATAGAATGTTCTATCTGCCAAAAGTAAATCATTCTCTAATATGCGCGCGCATGTGAGCAACAGGAGGTTACTGATAGAAAAAGAAAAAAAAAAACAGAGAGCATTTGCGATAGCACACATAAGATACAAAATATATCTCTTGCATTTAATAAAAGATACCTACCACCTTATGATTTTGCAGATGGTAGAGACGAGCTTCTGGTAATAAACTTGCAACGTGACTGCGAGTATTACAATATGAGAAGCCGAGATTCACACTCTGAAAATGTTCCACTGCTGCTAATGCGTTTTAGGTGTCACCGATAATTCATGCGACCTGATCCTTTCGAAATTTTACACAAGAACAACTACAAAATCAGGAATGAATCACTACACTAAGAGCTAATACAATCCGGTTAGCTTTGTTCCGATTATTCCAAACACTTCTTGCGTATTCTCTATCTCTAGTGTATAACGATGTATAATGCTGTGCTGTGAAATGTGAAATGGAGGATGGAGGAGGAAGGAAAACCGTAATAATAAACTTAAGGCCCAATCTACAACGTATCATTGGGCTCATTTAGCAGAAAAGAGCGCTACGAGAGCGCTCGCTGTTATTGGTGTATTCTTCTAGATCATCCAATCAGAATTTTAAATCTGGAAGAATATACCAATAACAGCGAGCGCTCTCGTAGCGCTTTTTTCTGCTGAATGCGCCCATAGGCATCATAGGTCGCAACTTGTTGCGTCAGCCAATCCAAATGCGTCAATTTTAAAATTGTTTGGTAATTATACAGAATAGCGTTTTTGCACGAAACAAAAGAATCTGGTAGAAATAAGCGTCGCTCTGCCTCGCAAACCGAAGGGAATAGCGATAAGTTTCAACTAAAGCCCTAAACACAATGCGAGGGAATAGCGATAGCGATAATTTTCAATCTATCAAAAATGCGTATTCCGGTGTATTCGATTTCTGATAAGTTGAAACTTATCGCTATATATATCGCTATTCCCTCGCATTGTGTTTAGGGCTTTATCAGAAATCGAATACACCGGAATACACATTTTTGATAAGTTGAAACTTATCGCTATCGCTATTCGCTTGCATTGGCTACGTTCAGCAGACTCAACAGTTGAGCGAGCGCTCTCTGTTATTGGTGTATTCTTCTAGATTTAAAATTTGATTGGATGATCTAAAAGAATACACCAATAACAGCGAGCGCTCAGGATGTATTCCGAACCGGGTTAGTTTAGCTTCCAACATCTAGGACAAAAAATAAGCTAAACTAACCCGGTTCGGAATACACTCTGTTGCTGGATTCACACTGCATCCGATTTTCGTCGTACGCGACTCTGCAACCTATCAGAAAAATCGTATCATCGATACGAAGCAAAATTTTGTTTCCTGATTGGTTGCAGAGTCTTCGTACGACGAAAATCGGATGCAGTGAGAATCCAGCATTAAGCCCATTCTACATTGGTCTAGTGACCCTCTAATAAGGGTCTGCGCACAATAGGAGGAATATTAGGAACAGATATTAAATATAAGAATATTAACCTATCAGAACTGTGTATTGTGGAATGTGCGCTTTCTGACAGGTTAAAATTCTTATATTTAATATCTATTCCTAATATTTCTCCTATTGTGCGTAGACCCTAAGAGTCTGGCCACCTTCTCCCCGGTTTGTGATTGGTCCGACATTTATCATCCATTCCCGCAAATTTCTTTAAATTTATAAACTGTAAAAATTAATAAATTCGTAAAAATTAAAGTAGAATCAATTACAATTTTTATTTTTATTATTATTTAACTTATATTAACATTATTAAATATTTTCTATAAAAACTTTTATGTAAAAAAAACGTTGCAATATGTCTTTCATAAAATAAAAACAACAATTAAGTAAGTATTATAAATAGATTGAAAATATAAAAATTAATATATTAAGAATATATAAAATTTATAAAAATATTACAAGATTAAGAAACTTTAATAAAAATTAAATTTAAATACAAATAATACAATTAATGCTTTAAAATTCTTAACAAAAAATACTTAGGTAGCACCAATAGGGAATAAATAAAGTAGTATATTTATG